CACACACACTCCCAAGTCGTGGTACGTCCATGTGGAGACAACTGTACAGTCAACTATTAAAATATGTTAACTTCTCACCCTGAATCACGAACCCCCCAGAGATTCACACTCATGAATCCGAAGCATTTATGGACAGAATCTCTCGGGGGTTCGTGGTTCAGAAGAAGAGACGAACGGACTTTAAGTAACGGACTGTGCTAACCTAAACTACCCGCTTAAAGACCCTAGTTATTATATCGCGGTAATACATTAAAACATTAACACATGAAGCACACCAAGATAACAAGCTAAAATATCACATAGAAATCAACTCTATAACTCTTAAATGGCTGCGTTCTCTCCCATCTTTAATCGTATGACATAATGGACCTGGGAACTTTGATTCACGCGTCAGATTATCAAAATACCGTAAGTTATTCTCCCCACAACTGAAAATATAGATATATAGATAGATAGTCACAAGTTTGCTTTGTATATATTATAGACAATGCAGTTATACCGGAAAAAATTAACACACGAACCCACAATGAATATCTGGGTTAAGGTTCACATAGATTCTGACCAAGATTCACATAGATTCAGACCACCATCTTTATCACATAGCTTTTCTTGATTGAACGTATCTACAATAGTTTAAAATCTTGGTATAAACTTGACGCCAAAATGGATGTTATTTCTGTACATTAGCTTACATCAACCAGTAATAATATGCGTGTTTACATATTCAATTATTCGTAATAAAAATCAACAGGCGTCCCTTATAAGACAAACCGGGTCCGTCATGGCAATGGCAAAAAGACCATGACAAGCGTCCGGCAGTGTGGTCCCGTATGCTGGGGGGGGGAGGGGGGGGGGTTATTGTCCTTGGGGGCTTTTTATACACTGTGACCTTTCCCCCCTTCATTCCTTCCTTTCACCAACCCCTTCCTTTGTTATTGTTAATCTTGAAGTTATTTTTACAGTAATTATTAGTTATTGTTGTTATTATTACTTCGTTATTATCACCATTCACTCACTATTATCATTTATTCACCTTTATAAACCCTATCAACAGTTATCAGCGTCCTTCAACTTGCTCATTAGTTACGTGATGGATTTCAGTTATCTTATCACTTAAGGCAGCGACCACCACCACCACCTCCACCCAACAGGCTTGAGTCACACTACTGTACACTATCGCTCTTGGTAAGCCGGTAACCTTATCAAGACTTTATTGATTTCTTTTCTATCAGCTTCTTCTCTCTGTTGCCTAGGGTTGAAAGAGAGAGAGAGAGAGAGAGAGAGAGAGAGAGAGAGAGAGAGAGAGAGAGAGAGAGGGAGAGAGAGAGAGAGAGAGCAAAGCGATAAAGATGTAATAATTTCGATACAACACCAGAATAACGAAATAGGAATAAAATAGGAAAAATTTATAACTTGATTCAGGCCACTAAACTAATCCCCTTCTCAAGCCTACGACTGCTACGACCCTTTCTACTGTTACTACATCTTCGACTACTACTACTACTACTACGACCTCTACTACTACGACCCCTACTTCGATTAATATCACTACTAACGGTATAAAAAGTGGTGGTAAAAAAAAACAATAATAATAACATGCGATCGACTGAGCAGACAGGAGTCACTTGGACAAGAATCTGACCCATTGACGTCATGAGAAGAGGGAGAGAAAGGGGAAGAGAGGTAGAAAGGGGAGAGAGGTAGAAAGGGGAAGAGAGGTAGAAAGGGGAAGAGAGGTAAAAAGGGGAAGAGGTAGAAAGGGGAAGAGAGGTAGAAAGGGGGAGAGAGGTAGAAAGAGGTAGAAAGAGGTAGAAAGTGGGTGGAGCATAGGGTAGGGTGATAAGGGAGTTTTAGTTTAGTTTAACAATTTATTGACAAAGCTTGTAGTACAGTTTGCCTATTATGAGTAATTCAGTCAGGTCTTGACACTGAGGGTGGTATCACTTCTCACTGCCACGCAGGACGGAGGTTCATACACAAAGAAATACATCATATTCATTAACAGCTGTATATGTATAGAGGTCAGATTCATGTCGTGTCACTGTTCACTGCCATGCAGGACAGAGGTTCGTACACAAAGAGATGCATCATATTCATTGACAGTACATATACATATACAGTATATGTGTGTGTGTGTATGTATATATATATATATATATATATATATATATATATATATATATATATATATACACATATATATATATATATATATATATATATATATATATATATATATATATATATATATATATATATATATATATATATATACATAGGTCAGATTCATGTGGGTAATGCCACTGTTCACTGCCATGCAGGACAGAGGTTCGTACACAAAAAAGGAAATACACCATATTCATTAGCAGTATATATAGGTCAGTGGTTCACATACATTGGTGTAATATTCTAATTGCCCCCCCCCCACACTGATTGGTGATAAGGGAGGCTTAGTATTACCCCCACAAAAACTACATAACACACCCTCTCCTCCCTCCCCTTTGTCTCATTTTCATGTTCTCTCCCTCCCTCTCTTCCTTCCACCTCCTCTTTGTCTCCCTCCCATGCTTCCCCCCTTCCTCCCCCAGGTATAAACATTCCTCACCTGTGCCAGCCATCTCCTCCCACACCACCACCAATCGATTTCTCCTACACACTCTTTGATCCTCTGATATCCATGCCTTCTCCCACCCTCCCTCACTTCTTTCGTCTTAGCTATCATTCCTTTCTCCCTCCCTTCATTCCTTCTCCACCCAGTAAATATTAACCCTCTCTCTCCCTCCACCCTAGACACATAACATGAACCCCATATTCTATTATGTGTTCTGCGAGTCTGTATCTGTAAAGTTCACGGTTTGGCCGCCAGGGGATCCAGACATGGACTAAAAAAATTAAATACTTCGTGTAATATCAACTGGATCGCGTTTTAGGTTTGTACAACGACCTATGACGCGTTTCTCTACATGTAGCTGTCTTGAGTATAATACGGCCCATATTTTATTTGTGTGTGTGTGTGTGTGTTTCTAAAGTTTGCCCAGTGTTTGTTCAGCTGTTTCTCATCGACTGGCTTAAAGTGAGCAGGATGTAGAACGGCAATGAATTTAATTAAAAAAAAAAGTTGAGATAGCGTTGGTTTTTGTCAGGTAGGTTTAACTTGGTTTGGTTCACCCATTTTGATTTCGTCGTTCAGAGTGTGCATATACCCTGGCGTCCATAGCTGTGTTCATCTCCACGACAAAACAGAAAAACGCTACATAATGACTCAACAATCTCCACAACTGCTAAATAGTACAGCTTTAGTTATAGTGGTACTTGTATTTAATTAAAACCACATAGCGTGTTAAGCTCACAAACAACAACAAATGTTAATGGAGCATCAAATCTATTTAAAAGTCTATTCAACAGAATTTGGGGGGGGGGGGGCTGCGTTAAGTTTGTTCTGGACAAACGTAAACGGCTTTTTCTGCAGGAGGGATATTTCTTATTTTGTTTTCAAGTGTACTTTCTCATAACGAATACATACCGGTACCCAATTTCTTGATCACACCTTGTTTGCTTTTTCCCAAGAGAGACGGTAATAAATAAACAACTCGGGAGACAACCAATATCTAAGTAATTAAACATCTACGAAAATTATGTATTAACTAAGGGTTTTTTTTAACACTTCTGGGAGTGGTTCTAACACGGGAACAGTTCAGTAAACAATATGCATTATTTTGTTCCGGTTCCTCGCTATACATTTGAAATTTACGATAGCAAGAGGACAGCCGTAAATAAACGTAATTCAAGTGTCCTGGCATAACGCATCAGTTTTCACCTCACGTTAACCTTAAATAAGAACATAAAAACATAAGAAAATAAGGAATCTCTGCAATAGGCCGGTTGGCCTGTGCATGGCAGCTCCTGTCGAGAGTTACTACCACTCTCTATCATCCATGAATCTATCTAGCCTCCTTTTGAAACTTTCCAGAGTTCCCGCACTTACTACAAAGTTGCTAAGCTTGTTCCACTCGTCCACCACCCTATTTGTGAACCAGTTTCTTCCTATCTCCCTCCCTCCTGTAATGCATTTGCATCCTGCCCTGAATTAATTTGCCGCCCTATTTTGGTGTCATCCGGAAAACTTGCTTATGTCACTGCTGATCCCAGTATCTAGATCGTTTATGTAGATTATGAACAAGAGTGGGCCTAGTACTGACCCCTGGGGAACCCCACTGGTTACACGGCCCCACTCAGATTTAACACCATCTACGCTGACCCTCTGTGTTCTATCGGTGAGCCATGATTTTATCCAATTTAAAACTTTCCCCTCGATGCGGTATTCTGTCAAACGCTTTGCTAAAGTCTAAGTAAATAACATCGTAATTTTCGTCATTATCTACTACCTCGAAGACTTTCCTAAAAGACGTTAGCAGATTTGTTAGACAAGATTTTCCCTTTGTATACCCATGTTGAGAATCGTAGATTAATTTGCTTTTCTCTAGATGCGATCGGATGCTATCTGCTATAATTGATTCAAGAAATTTCCCCACTACTGACGTCAAACTGATCGGCCGGTAATTTGACGCTGATGCTCTGTCTCCCTTTTTGAATATGGGTACTACATTTGCCTGTTTCCACAAGTCTGGCACAACTCCAGTGTCTATTGATTTTGTAAATAAGTTTACGAGGGGTCAGCTAATCTGTTCCCTACACTCTTTCAAGACTCGAGGGAAAATTTCATCCGGCCCTGGGGATTTTGTTTTCTTTAGTTTATTTATCTTCTTAAGAACATCCTCTTTTCTGATATGGATATTCTTTAATTTCCCTTCTTCCTTTCCCTTAAATATCAGTTCCACCTCTGGAATTTCATCGCAAATTTCTTCTGTGAAAACTGATAAGAAGTAGCTGTTCATGCTTTACTTATTTCTTCACTGCCATTTATCACTTCTCCCCTCCCTGTAAGTACTCACCTCTTGAGTGTCATCACAACTGGCAAGGAATATCAGTACTCTACTAACCTTTGTCATTCCTAGTGAGCCTCATGACAGGATGTTCACGTGCCATGCGACGCCACTCTTCCTCCCCGTCGCTTGGCTCCATGGTGGGGGTGGGTGCCATACTTTGACCACCTGTCACTATATCAAGTATTTTCACGTCACACAGCAAAGTTGGCTGTCTCTTCACGAAAGTTTTTAAAACCTGTGCAACGTACGACGCGATAAGTTCAGGTTACAAGCAGTGATACGTAAAGAGTTTCAAGTTTTTTTTTTTTTTATCTATACAGTAGTACAGCAAATGTCCTTATGTACTATAGTGGCAGCAATTCAGACTTGATTATTCCAGCGGCTGCTGACAGGTTACGTTGTTGGTACACGGGAGCCGTATGGGTCTGCCTAAAGTAAAGTGGTTTATATATACCTGCAGCGCGTGACGAAGATCAACTGTGACCTTCACGCCAACAAGTCACTGTTAAACACCAGCAGGAGAGGAACGCCTTCCGGTTCACAAGAGAAAGTCGGAAGTTGATTACGTGAACCTCAAAGATGTTCTGGCGGCTGCTTCCCTTCGCTCGCAAGGTTGTTCACTGTTTCAAAGTGGCTGAGTTTATTGGGAGAGGTATTAATTTTATATTGTAATGGTTTGCGTTTGCCAGAAATTTGTGAGTTTCCTTTCAAGTAATCTAAGATTGTCAATTATATAATGAGTGTTGGGTATTGACACTACAATCTGTCTTTGGACAGTACTGACAGTACAAATATTATGCAAATCCCAGCTAACAAGATGCTGGTGTTTCTTGTAAGATGATTTAGGAAGAGAAGCTCCACAGCACCACAGAATCACTGTAACCTTCAGTTAATCCGTACTCTTTATGGTACGGGTATGTCTTTTGGCCCACACTTAATTTCTGCACTAAAACCTTGTTACACATGGGTGGGCTTTGGATACACTTGGACGATGAATGAACCAGACGGACAACAGAAGGGACAGCACAACCCTGCCTTAGCTTCTCTTCGTGTATGTGCGATTGTGCGGGCCGAGCGTCGCCTTCCTGGAGTTTGTTTTGGTCGTATGATGCCAGATATTACTTTCTTAATAATACGTCTGTTGGCTACCAGGTAAGATACACTGGAACAGTACCTAATTTTTTTATGTTATTTGCATATTAAACGTTTAAATATAATTCTTAAGTAAAATAATGTTATAATTATTGATGAAAACCATGATTACTTGTAAAACTAGTAGTTGGTATCATTTTCTACCCAGGCTGGCCAACACATCCGCAGTTACGATTAAATACCAAGTGAACACCAATATTGCTTTTCCATTATTGATTTTACAAACATATATAACATATAAATGTGTACAGCATTATTTTGATCACTGAGAACAATCATAAAAATTCTTAATGGTCGATTTTAAAGTCAACGTTCATAAAAACGTTGTCGATAAGTGTGTGACGTGTGAAACTTGTTTGTTATTGTGTATTACTGTGCCTATAGCCTTTAAAGCGCGTATTCTAGGTTAATACCTATACTTTCTAATCATCAACAATTATAACAAACTAAGAGTGATGCAGTTCTGTGTTGAGTATGGAAGTGTTATTATCTAAACTTACGTACGATATGATGTAAGACTGCATGTAGTAATTGGTTGATATTCAGCTTAAGACAAAAATCACGTGCAAAACTTCGTCTACCTCCTTAACAATAATCTGACCTGAATCGGCTTTTCCAACGACTTTGTGCATTAATTTTGCTTGGTGTTGAGTTCCTAGAGAGAAGTAATTTTCTGACCTTCAGCTGCTTCAAAGGACAACAATAAAATATCATGAACAAAGTCTCCACGTCCTTCACATTCTTCCTTCATTGACACTAAAAGATAATTCTTCCCATTAAATGAGTTAAAAGGAATTATTTACTGACTTTTACTGTAATTGATAAACCATTTCTTAAAATTTAAATGTATCTATTAGTCAGGCTACGAAAGGCGGGTTCGGCTGACTTAACGCGTCGAAAAAAATGTGCTAGGGAGGAGGGAAGGAATGTTGGGCGCCCTATCTTTTAACAGTAAACAGACTACAGAAATTATTAAACTCCTTGCGATAATTCCTTAGATTTGGACCAGCTTAGTACCTTTGTTAGTTTTTATTGAAGAAATGGCAAATTTAATGAAGTCTGGGAATTTATGATTACAAATTTCAGTGTTTTAACCGGCGCTTGGCAATTTCTGAGAAGCAAAGCAAATGACCTCATGAATGTGTTTCCCCACACTCACCTAAAACAAAGAGTATTGTATTGAGAGACTTATTATTTTCCACGCTGTTAAAATACCGATTAATCATTACAAATGTAGTACCTTTTTTATTCCTCACTCCCAGTTTGTCTTTTGTTATTATTCATGTTGCACTTTAGTTGATGAATATAAAGTCAACAACAGATAAAAAATTCCGAAAAACATTACTAAATACGTCTCAAAAACTTCACTTAAGTCCTTCCTTTAAGTGTCAAACTAGCTTTTACATTTAACTCCAGCCCAGACGTGAATCTTGCTGAAAGCGTCATGAAGTGGGTAACGTCACGAGAGTTGAGGCAGCAACACTCTGCGGGCACTACACGGCCTAGGTGATGGGGTAACAAAGCTGCTTTCGTTATCCCATTATCAAGGTACTAATGATACGGCTGTGATAGGCCTCGCTCAAGCAGTCTTTGCCTAGCAATTACAGGTAGATGTGGCCTTCGTAAAATCGTGTGCTTATTGCTTTAAGGAAATAATATTTTTGTTTTTACTGCATTCATTCCCACCAGAAAAAAAAAAAAATATATATATACTGTATACATCGGCCATCAGTTGAGAATTGCTTGTGGCCAAACAGCGTGAAGGGCGTTCTGCTCGGTCTGACCTCAGTGAGCGGAAACCTGTGTTGTAAAGGTGACTCACTTGTGATATCATCCACCTTGACTAAATACGAGCTGCTCATTCTCCTGTTCCGAGTTGTCTGATGGTATCGTGTTATTATGAGCTATCCAAAATAATAACGAGCTGGGGTTATGCACATTTCCACCGACCGAGGAACTTGGCTGCATTGGCTATGGTTAGCTGTGCTAGTTATAGTTTTATATTCCGACGGCTCATCGGTTCGAAATTCTAACCTAACCTAACCTAACCTAACCTAACCTAGCCTAAGCCAGTGAATCACACAAACTTACCAAATTATTTCCCGTTTACACCACGATAAAAAAATACAGAATTCTGGAAATCTAAACCACATTAAAAAAATATAATAACTGTACAATTTTGAAGATCATGTTCATATTAGTGTCACTTATTTTAACTGATGATTAAAGACCCTAACGCAAACTCGGGTAAAGTTAGGCTAGGTTAGGTTAGGTTTAAGTTAGGATAGGTTAGGTTAGGTTAAAACAGCGTTAGATGGTTAAATCTTCAGGTGAAATAAGTGTTTTAATGTAGGTGTAATTTTCAATATTGCTTTTTTTTTTATCCACGTCATAATGAATCTTCCCGAGAAACAAAATCGTTGTCGACCATATCCTATTACATAGCTATTATAGTTTAAAATTACCAGCGTCTTTAGTTAGTTAATAGGTGAGCGAAAAGTTTTGTTCGATCACTTGGAATGACTAAGTAACTGGTTTCCTTTTTGGGTGAGTATTAAGGTAAGATCCAGGTAAGGTGAAGCCTATCATTATCCTGAAGGACTCGCCACTCCAACTCCCTGCGCCAGGTACTGACTGAATTTTTCTTTTTTTTAAGTTACGGTTGTAATTGTATAAACAGTGAGTCGATTCTTCTCAAGGCCAAGATGTTAGAGCACATAAATACAGTATAATATCACTACTAATAAAACTTCAGGGTCAATTATCAATCTTAACCATTGCTTGCCTCACAGACGGTAGGTTCAACAATCTACACTGTTACCCTGTTGTCAGGTACAAAGATGACAGGTAACTAATGGCGAATGGCATCGTGTGATTGGCTGACTCACTAATCAATCAATACCCAGTCGCAACTCAAAACATGGCCAAGGTGAGCGAAAAGTTAGAATTAGTGCACGTCCATGTGTGTCGATCCGGGAAGTTAAATGTACTGTATTGGCAGCCAGAGCAAACTGTTCCAACACGGCTGGAGCTTTCGAAGATGCTTGCATCTTTATCATCATATTTCTTGTTTTATAGGTAAGAAAAAAAACGTTTAGTTGTAGAAGTGAAACTTCTGAGACACTCATGCTGTGTTCACCTTAAATAAAAACCTACACCTCTGTGGTTACAGCGCCCAAACGTGCTTCGTTTCCAATACAATTTTTTTATCTCGCTCACGGTCACCAGTTTTATTGCAATCACATATATATATATATATATATATATATATATATATACGGTTCGCCACACTACCAGGAAAAGAAGTCATTGGGGTAATTCCCTTAAGTTGCGCCACACTCACTAGGAAAGAACTGATATTTTTTGGTGGCGTTGAAGGACCTGGTTTTTTCCAGCTAGGTTTACCAACACTAAGTCATAATAACCAAACTGCCATCATTACATTACTATAACATTTTGTCAACGTTAAATCATGACAACCAGTCTTGACAACATTAGGTTATTAATAAGAGTCCTGTTATGTTATTACTGGGCTTCAACAGCTAAGGCCTTTAAGCGCGTAACAAGATTATTAGTAGACTATTACATCAACATGTAAAAATTATTAAAGCTGGAACTCTCTGTGTTAACGAGTCTTCTCAATATTACATTATTGCAGCCTGTTTTCCCATCTATTGCCATCATGCTTACCAACATTATAAACAAACCGGTCAAAACTTTGAATCGGCCATGACAGTCAACATGAAAATTGAATCGACAACCGTGTCTACCACCACATGAAGTGCGCCTTTGACAACCAATCAACCATACGCACCACGAGTATACCAACAACATGCTAACCAACATATCCATGGAGATTACTATTAAAACATTCAGGATTACCTGTTCCTGTGACCATTACAATCATGATTACCAACATAAATACTCTGTACTTGTGCCTATGACCAAGCGTACCAACATAAACGCTGTGCCTATGACCATAACATTCAAGAGTACCAACATAATGCTATGCCTATGACCATAATATCTAGGAGTACCAACATAAACCCTGTGCCTATGACCATAACATTCAAGAGTACCAACATAATGCTATGCCTATGACCATAATATCTAGGAGTACCAACATAAACCCTGTGCCTATGACCATAACATTCAAGAGTACCAACATAATGCTATGCCTATGACCATAATATCTAGGAGTACCAACATAAACCCTGTGCCTATGACCATAACATTCAAGAGTACCAACATAATGCTATGCCTATGACCATAATATCTAGGAGTACCAACATAAACCCTGTGCCTATGACCATAACATTCAAGAGTACCAACATAATGCTATGCCTATGACCATAATATCTAGGAGTACCAACATAAACCCTGTGCCTATGACCATAACATTCAAGAGTACCAACATAATGCTATGCCTATGACCATAATATCTAGGAGTACCAACATAAACCCTGTGCCTATGACCATAACATTCAAGAGTACCAACATAATGCTATGCCTATGACCATAATATCTAGGAGTACCAACATAAACCCTGTGCCTATGACCATAACATTCAAGAGTACCAACATAATGCTATGCCTATGACCATAATATCTAGGAGTACCAACATAAACCCTGTGCCTATGACCATAACATTCAAGAGTACCAACATAATGCTATGCCTATGACCATAATATCTAGGAGTACCAACATAAACCCTGTGCCTATGACCATAACATTCTAGAGTACCAACATAATGCTATGCCTATGACCATAATATCTAGGAGTACCAACATAAACCCTGTGCCTATGACCATAACATTCTAGAGTACCAACATAACGCTGTGCCTGTGACCATAACATTCTAGAGTACCAACATAACGCTGTGCCTGTGACCATAACATGATCCAGACTTCACAATCAAACCTT